TTGAAGAATGGGTGTATGAGTTTGTTGAGGTTGTTGATCCAAAGGGTCGTTGGGGCTTGATCTTAGGATGAACGGATGATGAATGATGAACACTTTCTTCAAGGGGCCGTCGGGGCTTGATTTTGAGTTGGTGGAAGTTCTTCAAGGGCCGTTGGGGCTTGATCTTGAAGAACGATTTGACGAAGAACGAAGAGTGCTTTCTTGATCCTTCGGGATTTACTTGAGAGCTTTAAAGTTTCAAGGCTTGAAGGTTTTGGTGTAATGTAAATTCCTCTTCCTTTCTTTTTTTCAAAATGAATGCCTTGGCTTCCTACTTATAGAATTCCAAAACTTGATTTTTGGATTTAAATAATCAGATGAAATAAATCATTTCTGCCAGGTATTGACACGTGTCCTATTTGATGACTTTTCCAATTTATTTCGATTTTTCGTTGAGTCACACGCTACATGTAAAATTTATGTGACACGTGAGAGTTGAAATTTTAATTATTGGTCAACATTCATTTCACCGAAATTTTGATGTCTACAGTTAGTATAAGATAAAGTGAGACTAAGAAAAATTATTATTTGAAAGAGGTTATTATTATATTTATAAATGAACAATTTATTAGTTTATCGATAATATTAACAATAATAATACCTTATCCCCCTAAGTGATATCAACTGTATAAATCCTAGAATGCCATTGCGCTCAGTTTTGTGTCATGTCTTTCGTTAGCTCCAAGTATTCCATGTTTTTTTTATTATAATCTTCCAAGTCTTTCTAGGTCTTCCTCTACCATTTTTGTCATAAGCCTCTATTTTATAATCGCATCTTCTAACCAGAGCATCGTAGGTCATTAGTTCACGTATCCAAACCATCTTAACTGATTTTCTCTTATTTTATCTTCAATTGCGGTCACTTCTACTTTACTTTGGATATCCTCATTTTTGTTCTCATGTGCCTACGCATCAAACGAAACATTCTTAACTTTGTTCTCGTGTGCCTACGCATAAAACGAAACATTCTCACCTTTGCTACATTCATTTGTTTCATGTATTGATGCTTGACAGCCTATTATTCTGTACCATAAAACATAAATGGGCTTATTGTCATCCTATAAAATTTCCTTTCAACTTTAATGGCATATGATGGTCGCACAACACTCCCAATGCACTCTTCTACTTCATACTCCAAATTGTATTCTATGGTTGAGATCTCCATTCAATTATCAGTTCTTCTACAAGATAGATCCAAGGTAGCGAAATCGTTCGCTCTTTAGTACTTTCAGATCTTCAATCCCTACCCCTATCTCATTTGAACCCTCGTTCCCACTAAGCTTTCACTCCATATACTCTATCTTTGTCCTACTTAGGCAAAGATCTTTAGATTCCAACACTTCACTCCAACGGTTAATCATCGCATTTAATATATCCTAACCGAGTTGCATCTATCAACACTAAATTATTTGCGGAAAGCATACACCATAGAATATCATCTTAAATACATCTTGTTAAATCATCAATTACCAATGCAAAAAGGTAAGGATTTAAAATTGAGCCTTGGTGAACCCTACGGTTATGAGAAAGCTTTCGTTTTGTCATTCCAAATTTCTTTATGCAGTCTTTGCTCCATCATACATATCCTTTATTGTTTGGATATATGATACTCGTATTCCTTTACTCTCTAAAATCATCCAAAGAATTTCTCTTAGGATCCTATTATACGTTTTTCTAAATATATAAGAACCATGTGCAAATCATTTTTCATATCTCTATATTGTTCCATCGATTTTGTAAGAGATAGTTGCCTACCCTAGCATGGACCCAAATTGATTGTCTGAGACCCGTGTTTCATGCCTCAATCTGTGCTCAATTACTCTCTCCCTAAGCTTCATTGTTTGACTCATTAACTTAATACCTCTATAATTCATGTTATTTAATATATCACCCTTATTCTTGTAAATAAGCATCAAAGTTTTTTTTTGGCCACTCATTTTGCATGGTGTTATCTTTCTTTAAAATGTCAACATTGGCGTTATCCTTATTAAAATCAATTGACAAAAGTTGTTCCATCATAAGTTTAAATGAATGAGTGCACATGGAGTTACTTACCATTTTGGAGTGCCCCATTTCTCTAATTGTTGGCAAAGCCAACTTCAGTCCTATTAATCGAAGGTCCTAATAATCCACCATGTTGTCTATACAAATTTTCAGTTACATAAATTGATTTGGTTCCGTCGGTTTGAATTTTTAGAAAACCACTATAAGTTAACATTTTTCTCATCCTCCTCATATTTGTGGAGTCGTACTTTCAACATCTCTTTTAACTTGAAGCCCCTTTCATTCAAGTTCTAGCAAATTCACTCTAATTTCTTCCAAGATTCAATTGTAATGCACTTGCTACAAATTAATTGAGGTTGATGTTAGCTGATCATGAACATTCCTTCTCTTGTGATCTAATTGCGTTTTAATCTGCAGGTCTTCAACTAAAGGATAATGCTTGTGTATCCTTCATGGAGGAATCGACTTGCTCCCCACTTTCGATTAATGAATTTTTAACGTTCGAACATCATAATCGAAAATTTTCATTCTCTTTATTGTCACTATTAGTAAATTCTCACTTTTGATTAATGAATTTTTAACATTTGAATATTATAAGCGGAACTGTTCATTTTCTTTATTGTTATTATTATCTAAAGATAATATTTACAACAAATGATTCAATTGGGTAATTGTTTAGTCATCCATACATGTCAAACCAATTAACCTCTTTTTTTTACAAGTAGCATCCTCATGATAAAACCGTCAATTGTTTTATGCATATGAATAACTAAAAGATCTCCAAATTCAATGGTTTTCTTCCAAATATGATCTTTGATGATAATAAAAATAATAAATGACTAGAAAATGTGCCCGCACGTTGCTGCGGGACTTGAATGCATCATCTTGAACTACACGAATAAGATACATTTTACCTGAATAAATTCAACACAATCATAAATGAAGAAAGGGATAGATGAGTGAATGAGTTCAGTACGATATGCAGCTTCGTTTTTATATACATTCAACTAAGCTGACATGAAAAGACATTGTATAATGAATAGGACGAAAATGAACGTTCTGGTTCCCTAATAAACGGAAGTAACATACAGTTCACACAAATCTTGCCCCTGTAGTCAATGTGGCAAAATATATATCCTGTAGGTTAGGTAACATGAAAACCGTTTTGTTCTTATTTTAGCATCAAAGTTTTCAAGCACAAACGTGCAAAGCAAAAAACATGCAAGATGCCTGTTTCGGTAAGAAGCATAAGTAACATGCAGTCCACACATATTTTGCCTTCTAGTTAAGATGGTGTTTCGTTCTTGTTCAAGCAGCTAAGTCTTGAAGCAAAAATGTTGAAAGCCAAAAACATGTAGAACGTGCTGCAGCAATCGTTCTTGTTCAAGCAGCTAAGCCTTGAAGCAAAAATGTTGAAAGCCAAAAACATGTAGAACGTGCTGCAGCAGTCGTTCTTGTTCAAGCAGCTAAGTCTTCCGCACTATAGCAAAGAATATAAATCATAGTTTAAAAGAATATCTCACGATGGTCCTGTTTAGAATCACAATTTACTCCCTCCCAATTTCCACCTAACTCCGAACAAACAATATTGATAAATCTTTATCATCACCTTTAACAAAACAGATCATAGCAAAAAGAAGAAAAAATGTTCCTATGCAAACAAATTCTTCTGGATGTCCAACTTAACCCATCTATGGGAAGGCAAGCAATCGGACGTGCATTTAGACCAATGAAAATAAATTATACAATTAAAAGCATCAACCGATCCTCTTGAAAAGAACACACACACATGCCAACATATTATTCACCAGATTCTAAGCTTTCATTTTCATTCTATCCCTTTCGTTATCTAAACTTATAATTATCAAAACTGCAAAAGAATCATAGAGCAACCTTCAATCATTTATCAAAACTGAATTAATTAAACTTCTGCTCAGCACTCCGTTAATTTTAATTGCAACTCTCGTTCTAAAAATTAAAAATTTTGCATTTGAATAATCAAACGCACTTACACATTACATTCCTTTTATTGGTTCTTGACACAATACATTTTAGGATTTGATGTTACAATAATATCACTGCAAACATGAATTGCGATAGATATAGAAACCAAACTCGCACACAAATGTTCGACTGAATTCAGAACCACTTAATTCAACATAAAAAAATTACCTCACATGCTTGCTCCCTTTCTGCTCTCACATCGTTGGCTGCGCTTCTAAATGGTTAATGAAGTCCTAAAAATAGAACAACAAAAAACGTTTACCTATCCAACATTTCAACATATGGTTTTGGCAGGTATAACATTTCAACATAAGCATGATATAGAAAGACAGAAATCCACATGTCACTTTGTTTTTCTCAAAACCAACACCCTCTGCTCTCTCCCCTATATCACACACCCCCACCCCGTGAAGGCACTGACACCAGATCACCTCCCTAGAAACCGGCCCTAAAAACCCATACCCATACCTCCCTTACCTGTTACCTTTCTCAAAGCAAAAAGTGTTATATATGATAGTATCACCCCAATCTGGTTAACGACATTCACTGCATAACGCTCACCAGTAGGTATAGTCTTGCTGTTTGAGAAAGGCCTGAGGTCAAAATTGGCAACAACAAATTAACAAAGCCAAATGAAAGATTAAATCTACAGTCACCACAAATATTTTCTAAAATGGAAGATAAACCAGAGTCAAATAGGAAAGGGATAGCAGACACGGTGAGCTTTGTCTCAGTTTGAAAAGAAAAAAGAAAAGAAAATTGGGTAGTTTCAGGAGCAAAATAGTTCATTTGCGTAGAACTATAACAGCATCTGAGAGCTAGGAAGTTATCACCCAATAAATTTTGTTATACCAAAGATTCAGTAAAAATGGGATTAGGTATGGTGGTACCCTTTCTCTTCACATTTATAATATACGGAAATAATTAACTATGTTGAGTATAGTGAAGGGGGAAAGCTTTCTATGAATGAATTTAAAAGAGGGGATTTTCCTGCATTTTTAGGACCAAAAACGAAGTAGCTAACATTTCTTTCTGTTTTTTGCCTTTTATGATCTACTGATCTTCTTCTAGTAACATGGATAGCTGAAGCAGGACTGCCATTGTATCCAACATATATCAAATTCGCCAAACTTTGGTTTGGATATAACAGTGTCATGAGGGCCCATTGGACCTACAGATTCAGAAAACTCTGTGAGCCATTCACCTATACCTGTCAAAGTGCACAACACCATTAAATGCTAGAGTTGACATCTAATTGTTCATCCACAGAACATATACAGTGAAGGAGACACAGAAAACAAACCAAGGTTTGAGTCCCGATGTCTAATCTAAATTAGAGAATGCTCACCCAGAAGACAAAGTAATACACATTTCTTAGGAAATTGTTTTGCAGTAGAGGCTATATAAGTGATCATTTCAGCAACCTGTTGTTGAACCTGCGTTTGTCAAGACATAACAAAGTAAAGCAAACAAAAAAAGGCATTGTTAAATCTTCCTAACTAAAAATTCATAAAGTAACAGCACCAAAACAAACAAAAAAACGCGTTGTTAAATCTTCTTGCATTTAAATCTTCCTCACTTTAAAGCAAAAATTAAGGAATATCCCCACCGTAAAAAGTAACACCACAAAAAAAAAAAAAAAAAAGACTTCGTAAAACAGCACTCTTGTTAAGATACCCCAACTAAATCAGTTAACAGCAAGAGACCAACATGGCAATGGGAGTCTACAAAAAGGAAAAAGAACAGAAGATATAAAATAGTAGACAAATGGTCATAGTTATATAAATTGAAATTGTTCAAAAAAAAAAAAAACAATGATGAATACATACTTCCTTAGAATAAAAAAATTGATTAATTCATTATAATGGTTTCTTGGAACCCAAGTAGAAAAGGATACAACTTAATAACAATGGAAGCCACAAACCTATATCATTTCTTATTCGGGATCAAATAGAGCATATTTCTTATTCGGGAACCAGAAATTTAAGATTGCAAGTTCGAGACTTCCATACCTCAAATCGAAGTCGGCGTGCTGTCTAGTAGTCCAAACCTTGATCCTTGATAAATTGAACTTCCTTCTTTGATTGAACAATCGAAAAATAGATAAATTGGGTAGCATGTCATATCAATATAACACCCCTATACGTACACACACATACCAAAACAGCCTACATTCAGATTTGCATCATATCCTTGTTTCTAACTCTCTGGGGAATTTTCAAAAACACCTAATAGGCAAGATTTGCTTCCATTTAAAAGAAATCTGATTTAATCAGTGATCTCAATTGCATGTATATCTGAACGGCCATACTTGTTAGTTAGTTATGTTATAGGATGTATTTAACACTTACCAAGCGGTTCCAAAACAACATCCTACATGCATATTATGTTGCCAAACTATGAATCAAGACCGAACTTTCCTACTTTGGTAATGTAATCTCCTAGACTAGTTACAATTTGGTTCCTGTATTTTGACCTGAAAACAATTTTGGTCCCCTAGAAGTTGCCAATGGCACCTGAATTGTAACTGGAAAACAACTCAGACACAACTATGAAAAATTAAAACTCGAGGCGCCAAAGTGTGAGAACAAAGAAACCAAAATAGTTAAATCTACCCTTTTACATCATACATACCATTAAAAATTTGTTTAGAGATAAAAATCGTAGTCATAGCAGAGAATCCAACCTGACCAAAGAAAGTGGATTTCCTCACTTTCTAGTGCTATTATATTTACCGTGCTTGAGACTATTCAAAGATGAAAAAAGTGGAAATTTCATGCAATATGAAAACAAATCCCTGATAGTTAATACTGCTTACCATAGAAGCTAACAATCTTATTTTGTACGAAAAACATGAAGATCACTAAAAGACACCAGAATATAACTTTCATCAATGACATACTTTATGAGAATTTTGGATCCAAAAGTGGCTCCAATAAAATAAATTTAGGCTTGTATATGCAATATATTAACATGAGAAAAAAAAACATGCATCCCTAATGAAATAATGAGGAGAATGACCCTTGACCATTTTGTTGGAAATATGCCCTGAAAGTCAATCTTTGGAAGAAACCTTTCAGGACAATGAATTGATGTATATATGACTCTTATACATCGGAAGGCAAAGATACTAATTAGGACTATCTCAATGAACAAAATATGTCCTAAATAGTGAATCCATGGACAATGGATCGATGGAAGAAGTAACCTAATGATGTTAGATTACAGAGACCTTCTTCTCATAACCATCATGTCCAAAAAGGTTCCTGGTCATAAGGATTGTCGGAGGGATACTGACAATCCATAGACCGGTACATACTATGTCCGCTTCAATTGGAAGGATGGAAAGTCTCATCCCATTCGTGTAGCGACACTAAGACAAGCATGTAGGTGCTCATTAAGGGAATGAGTTCACTGAACACAATCGAACGAGAGTACTTGCATGGAGGTCTACTCACATGTCAAGCAAGTAACTCTAATGGTTGGAATAATGTAAGTAATCCTTTGACCTGAGGCATCGTCGTTGTCTTGTGGTTAAGTACTTAATCTTTGATTATGTTAAAGTCATTCCGTTCGCGAGTGTCCAAGGCATCGTTGGGGTTAAGCCACTTAGCCATGAAGGCAAGTGAATGCGCAACAAGGAATCTCTAATCCTCGATAAGAGAGGATGAATACTCTAAGATATGATTCGGGAATCTTTGGCCGAAGTATCGAGCGTAATAAAGGAAAGCGTTCCTATACGTCTCAAATGAATCGTATAAGAAGGAATAATCACATTAGGGGTTTGACATTATAAATCCATACCTAGTAATGTGATTGAGAGTATTGTTTTAGAGAATGATCGAATTACATTGTAATTCCAACTGAATAGGTTCTCCGAATAACTTCTACATTAGCTTGGGTAGCCATGATATATGGTTAGATATCACTCATGGCTTGTGAGTTCTTCTAAGATGATTAAATGTAGTCATCAAAGAAGAAGGTGAATTAAAAGTAAGTTTTAATTCACTAAGTGGATGGATTAAATATAATCAATTGGATTGATGCCAATCACCTCACTGCCTTGCTAATTAGAACCTAAAAGATTGTTCACCAATACACTCTTGTAGTGAGTAACTAATGGATGAAGGAAATAATTAATTGGATTAATTAAGTGTTTTGATTAATTTAGAAAGTCTAAAGAAATCATAAAAGCGATAAAGATCGTTTTGGGCTTAAAGAAACGTTCGGGTTTAATTAGGCCCATTGGGCCAAAATCCATTGGGCTTTTATTCAAGTATTGGATGACTTGAAATAATTAAAAGCCCAAAGCCCAAACCAAACACAAAGGGCCGGCCACCAAGGGAGAGATAGGTTAAAATGTTGACTTGTTTCTTTTGTCTATAAAAGGAACTTTATAACATTTTGTTCATTAGGGTTTTTATGTGTTCTAAATACAACAAAAGAGAAAAAGAAAAGCTCTCTCTCTTGAACACAAAGGGCTGGCCACCAAGGGGGTGATTTAACTAATCATCTATACACTCTTTTGGTTATTCCTTTATCTTTCTCATTACAAAGTAGGTGAGGATCTTTAGAGGTTTTCATATCTTTGGAAACTTGAAGAGAACCTAGGACCACTTACTTTACAAATTGGAGGAAGCAAGGAGGGAGGCTAGGCTCAAGGAGTTTGAGGAGCAAAGATCTTGAAGGTGGTCCATCTTTGGTCTAAGATCTAGATCAAGAGGTACAAAACTAAACCTCTAGTTTGTTCTTCTTATAAATTTTGTTTTGATGCATCATATATAAACCTATGCATCTTGAAGGGGATTTGCATGACTATAGCTTTGATAAAATGTATGACATGCTTCCGTTGCTTTCGTATATAAATTTTGAATTGTATATGCATGCTAGTCACTAGAAATCCCACATAAATCTCATAGATTTCCCTTCACATTTGTTGTCTTTGATACAACTCTTTTCATCCATGCCTTCATGTTTGTATCCTTTGGGACATTGACATGAATAATTTCCAGGTGAATTTATGCATGTTTCAATATCTGGAAAGTAAGGAACCATGGACAAACATCAGTTAAAATCCCAATTTTTAAATTGGTTGAATTGGGAAAGAACTATTTGTACATTCACATGGTGTTGAGAGAAATAACCTTGGAAATAAAGCACTATACATACACAAAATTTGTTCAGTATAAAAAGCAGCAAGAAACTAATGTAATTTTCAGCTTCTAACTCATCCATTTGATCAACATATTGATGTAACAAATGTAACTTTCAGTTTCTAACTCATTCATTTGATCAATATCATCCAAGTCAGAAAAGATAGAACATAAAAATGATCAGGATATATAAATAGGGGCTTCATCTGAGTCAATATCAGCCACCATTCCCCAAAAAATTGATGCCAGGACTCTGCCAAGCATCTATAAAGCCCCTTCAAAGAAAGACACTTGTTAAGGAACAAAACGGTGAAGAATACAAAAGGTAAGTAGCGACAATCATCAACTCAGCTAAATATCCAACACAATAGCCAATGTCTTCCTCTCTTTTAGCAATATGCAAATCCCTAATCTGCAAACAATAATTTGGAATCTTGAGATACCAAATCGACTTCAACAGGGTTTGAAGGTTGCATTTTTCATAAAATTTAAAAACTAAAAGCAACAACAATATTAATAAGTGAGCACTCACCAAAAAATAAAGGTTTGGAAAGAGCGATGATATTGTCAGTGCTACAAAACGATCATCAAACAATAGATCAGGGTTAAAACATTTACAAAAAAGTTAGAAGATGGTGCAGATATAAACATTGCTTAATAAAATTGATAAATGATTTCGAGTGTGACAAAGCAATCAAATTACAAGATCAGCTATTCCGCCTTCAAACAAAATTGATAAATGATTTCGAGTGTGACAAAGCAATCAAATTACAGGATCAGCTCTTCCACCTTCAAACACGCTCATCAACACCATATTAAATTTCACATTTTTAGGCGAGGGTAAACTACCAGAAACAAAAGGGATTTATACCTTTTATCAAAGATCTACAGCCTTGGTACCTTCGCCATTGCTTGTCTTCTCCTGTCTGGGTTTTACATTCTTGGTAATCTCTTCCTTCCCTGGTAGTTTTTTGTCCTGCAAAGAGAAAAAAAATTAGGATTAAACTCTAAACGCAAGGTTCCTTGATTCTTCTGCTTCCGAAATTTGCTGTCGCATAGCCAAAAATTAGAGAAAATAAGCTTTGGTTCAGAACTTACTCAGTCTCTGTAGACATGGGCTCCTCCTCAATTTTTGTCATCCTCCTCTTTCTGCGATCTCTCTCTGTCTCTCCTTGTCTCTGTGCATCGTTCCCTCCCTTTCTCTCTCTCTCTCTCTCTCTCTCTCTCTCTCTCTCTCTTTTTCTATGTTCTTCCCTCTGTGCAAGCCCATACTCGCCAACTCCTTCAATCAACTCTCTCCATTCTCTGTCAGTGAAGCATCAATAATCTGAAAACCCAATTCGATTTTTCATTGCTCGAATGGAGAAAATTGAGGAATGAAAGAACAAATTAGGGTTAGCACTAAAGTTGAGAGAGATGGACAGTCGGGAGAAAGGAAGTGTCTAAAAGAGAGAGAAAGAGAAAGGATTAGAGAGAGGTTGAGTGTGACAGAGATAAGGGGAAAACACGGGATAGGATTACCAATCCCTGAAATCACTCTCCCTACCCCCAAATCCCTTAAATCTCATCTGAATGTGCAACAGAGCATGGTCCCATCCACCCTATTCCGGTTCAGAAACAAAGGAAATGAAAGTTCCCCTCTAACCAATGCTCGTTCAATCATTGACACCAACAATTGATTTGAGGATAAAAAATCAACCCTAACCCCCTTTTTGGCAGCCTCACTCCTCCCTCTCCCTTCCCTTCCCTGCCATCCCACGCCTCTCTCCCTGAAATTCATCCACAAATCCTCCCACACCAAATTTAGATCAAACCCTAATTTCCAGAATAATGATAAAAATCGACAAAAAATATATACAATTGGCACGTTACCATTGATTCGAGTTCTGGTAAGGAGTGCAGCGGCGAGGTAAGGCGAGGTGTGCGACGGCGAGGGGAAGGCGAGGTGTGCGACGGTGAGGCGCCGAATCAACTTTGTCGTTAAAGAGCTCTGGAGCAAAATGGGCTTGTCGTCGAAGAGATCTCTGGAACAAAATCAGGTTTGCTTCCATCCCCCAACCTTTCTACGATGGTCGACACATGCACGCTGAAGGGTGGCAATTTCGTAAATAAGTCAAAATTTTCAATCTGAAACAGAAGACGCGGTGGCAATCTTGTAAATAAACTGAAATGTGGTTCAAAACACTGTTCATATGAATAGTGCGATTTCCCCTCCTACTTTAGACTAAAGTAATTCCGATTACAATGTTCAGAATTGCATAATTAAATGTCATGTACAATGGGAATTCAAGCAAAATAATAACTTTACAGGAACACCAAATATCATATGATCTGCAAGCAATTACAAGCTTGATAGAACTACTTACTACTCTAGCTTCATAGTTCCAGTGCCATTAATTTCGACAAAATTCTCTTTCTTTTTATAGAGACGCTGGTGATGAAGAAGATATCATATTACACAAAACTGAAATCGAAAAATATAAAAAATATAATAGAAAAAAACGACATTAAAAAGTATGAAATTATTAGAAATTTGCTTTTTAAGTTGTAGGGCAGCAGCAATTAAAAACACGCTAATTATTCATCCAGTGCCAATTAATGCAAAGCTTCGAGCAGCAGGGAGGTATTTGATCCATCTCTCAAGATTGAGGCTTCTCCCACTTGAGGGGCTTCACAACCTCCCAGGTGAAATCTGGATCGTCCCTTCCAAAGTGTCCATAGGCAGCTGTCTTCAAGAACCTTCCGCCACCACCCCTCTTGAGGTCCAGGTTGATAGTGATCATGCCAGGCCTGAAGTCGAAGGTCTCCTTCACAATTTTAAGGATTTCCTTGTCAGGGATCTTTCCTGTTCCATATGTGTCAACGAAAACTGACAAGGGCTCCGGCACACCGATGGCATAAGACACCTGCACAATGGCCCTGCGAGCAAGCCCATTTGCTACAATGCTCTTGGCAGCCTGCCTCACAATGTAGGCGCCACTCCTGTCGACCTTGGTTGGGTCCTTTCCAGAGAAAGCACCTCCACCATGGGCTCCCCATCCACCATAAGTGTCAATAATAATCTTGCGTCCGGTAAGACCTGCATCACCATGAGGACCACCAATCACAAAGCGGCCTGAGGGGTTAAGGTGGAAGATTGTCTTCTCGTCAAGGTACTTCTCAGGGACAACAGGCTTAATGACATGCTCCTTAAGGTCAGCGGCAATCTCATCGTTTGTGACAGTCTCATCATGCTGGGTGGAGATGAGAACAGTGTGGACACGGACTGGAACCATAGCTCCATTTTCGTTGTAGTACTCCACGGTGACTTGGGTCTTGCCATCGGGTCTCAACCAAGGGCAGGTACCATTCTTCCTAACCTCAGTGAGACGAGCACCAAGCTTGGTGGAAAGCACATGGCTAAGGGGCATCAATTCAGGGGTTTCATCAGTGGCATAACCAAACATGTGACCCTGGTCACCAGCACCAATCTCCTCAGGTCGCTTGGTAAAGTGACCATGGACACCCTGGGCAATATCAGGGCTCTGTTGCTCAATATTAACCAGGACCTTGCAGTTATCGGCATCAAGACCCACATCATCAGAAACAAATCCAATGGCGCGGCAAGTGTCACGGACTATCTTCTCATAGTCAACATTGGCCTTGGTAGTGATCTCTCCGAACACCATGACCATGTTGGTTTTGGTGCATGTCTCACAGGCAACCTTGCTGTCAGGGTCCTGGGCAAGGCAGGCATCTAGCACTGCATCAGAGATCTGGTCACACAGCTTGTCGGGGTGACCCTCGTTCACGGATTCAGATGTGAATAGGAAAGTCTCCATTCTCTACACATCACAACAGTGTACCAAGACAAATCCATTTCAATGTCAACCCAATAGTTTATGCAACGAAAAGAACTCATAGCTTTAACAAGACAAAAGAATAAAGATTTAAAACACGCATATCACGAAACTCGCAATAGCCGTAAATCCGACTACAGCATCAAATCCACCATACTTTTAACTTTAATAAAAGTAAATATTCCCAGAAAAGCATATACGCAGGGAACAAAGTTAGAACGAACATATCACAAAAGCATCACATCAATTCAGATATAAAGCCAATATAATCTGCACTTCAAAAAGATTAATACCAGAATAACTTAGTGAACTCAACTACCACATCAAGCTCATCTTCAAGAATAAAGGGGGGTTCAGTAAAATATTCACCATCAAACAGGGTTCAACTTACAAGAATCTTCAGAATACATAAATTTACAGCCACAGTGAAAAATGAAAATACCATAAATCTATAGATTATCAGATCTGCAAATTCTTGCTGAAATAAAATCCAACACTTCAATTTAACTTGTCAAACACAAAATACAAGAGAAAATGCTAACAAAAATAACCACCAACTTAAGTTCCCCCAGATCTTTCATAACTCCAAAGCAAAACTCATACAATCCCCCCAAAAAAACAACAAACCACCAGATCTGCATGCATTTTATTCATGCAGCAAAAAAAGCAAGGACAAGGAAAACGAAAACCCAACAGAGAAAAGCACTAAAATGGTACCTCTGAAGCGCGGATCTGGAAGTGGAGGAAGTTGGAGGGAACAAGGACGAGGGCGTGCTTTTCGAAATAGCCGCTTATGCAGAGAAAGCGGAAGAAGCCCAATCGACTACAAATGTCCTAAGCGTCTCTTATGCCGTATTTATACTATTTAATTTATCTCACCGGTTGACCGGACGCCTCCGTTTCGATATGGTTTTCGTCGGTCATCAACCATCGAAGGGTTGCGAAATGAATCAGCCGTTTGATGAGATCAAATCCAGGGACAAGATTAATCCGGGGTTTGGTGAGAATATCTAGTATTTCCGCATTAGGTATTACTGGCTAATGCCGGTCTTCCACCAACCCTAACCGGTACTCGGCTCACTGGCTTGGCTTCGCTGGTTTCACTGGCTTAGCTTTGATGTATACACATGCAAATCACATCCAAATACAAACCTTTTTCTTTTCCCTTTAATTTTTCAATTTTTACGTGAAAACAACAAACAAGTGAAAAAAAAGAAAAAAGAAGGGAATTATTATTAGCATTTAAAAAATTACATTCTACTATATTTTAAATTTTTTATATTAAGAAATAAAGATACATTTATAAGAAGTGTGAAATTAGATTTTTTGAGTGCCAATAATACTTCTCAAAAAGAAAAACTTGGTTCATTTTTGGCACAAAGAGATTTTCTTGTGGGTTGAAAATCTAGACATGTTGAACAAGAACTTGAATGGGTACATTATAATTTTGACTTATTGTACCATTTACATGTATATCGAATCAACGTGATATTCATAAATAATTTTCCCTCTTAATTGCTTTTATTTAAATGAAGATATAATTAACTGCATTTACATCGATATTGAATCAACGAAATATTTCATTATTAATTTTACATTTTGACTGATTTTATTTATATGAAGATATGATATTAGTTGAAGTACCATAAATTATTTGAGGGTGTAAATGTGGTCTCGTTTAAGCGTCATCCGCGGTCTTTTACTCTATCAAAAAGAAAAGGGGTTTTAACTTTTAATTGTCAAAAAAAAAAAACAGAGTTGAAAAGGGGGCACTGAAATGGACGAGAGGAGTCAGTGGGATTAGTCCAATGTGGAGTGAAGAACCAGCATCTTCTTCAATTGTTTTCTCCGCTATTTTCCATTGTTATAAAAATTGCGTCATTTAGGTTCTGTTTAGACGTTAGATGACTGGTCATTGCCTCAATTAATGTTTAAACGTTTTAAAATTAAGAAATGATATTTAGACCTGCTGAGACGCTTGCCTAGACCATCTAGGCAACCGCTTAGCCTGTCCAGACCTGCCTTGGTTGTGACTCACTTATATAGAAAACAGATAACTTTCATTTTACGTTTTATTTTTTTTTTCAATAAATTGTAAGAGATTTGTTGAATATTTAAATGAATACACATTATATACTTGTTCCTCATGTTTTAATTATATTCCAGTACTTCATAATGTATATGTTATTTTATTTTGTAATTTATGATAAAATTATATATATTTAAAGTATAAACAAACACTTATTTACACAAAATATAATATATTTACTTAAATTCGTCTAGTCTGCTTAGACGCCAGACCTATGCCCCGCCTAACCGTCTAGAGGCTAGACTCTAACCTACCACCCGACTAGAGCCTAGCATCTTTTAAAACCTTATTATTTTCATAACTGCGTTAATGAAGCAGAATATAAAAATAAAGTGGGACAATTACTACTGAATTTACTAAAGTAGCCTTTTGTAATTGGAGTGTAAATTTAAGTGGCAACGGCATTTTAGCTTCCCAAAGACACTCAACACAGTGACAACTTTTGAGCCGTGAACTGAGAGCACCAAGTGTCCCCGATAACGTCATTTCCTGAAAGAGAAATGCGGGCATCTATTTTTGGAGAGGAATTTGCTCCAGTAGTATTTTGGTCTAATAACGTATTGACGTATTGTCACATATTATTTAATTAAACGCAACGATATATTGGTGAATTTAACATTTCACTGCAATGATGTATTCGGTCTACCTAAATCATATTCTTATATATATATATTATGTGAATTAAATTCTTGCGGTGTAAGCAAATGGGGTGATGTTATGTGAAAGTTGGCATTGATAAGTGAACCGCCACATTGTTGGGAAATAAAGCAAAAGAAGAAAATGACACCAAAAAAGACCCCACAAATTTTCTTTTATTAGAAATAAAAGGTGAAAAGTGGGTGAGAGTTCATTCTGAAGGAAAATTTAAAATTAGGGTAAATCTTAGTTTATTCCCTTCAAGTTTCGTGATTTTTAACATTTGGTACATGAAGTTTTTTTCGTCCCAGAGTCATACCTAAAGTGTTAATTTTGGAACAGTCTTATACATCCGTTAGTCTGGCTATCAAATCAGCCGTTAACTGATGACGTGGTGCCCACGTGGACAATGATTGAGTGCCACGTGTCAATATAAGGCCCACGTGAATATTAAAAAAATTAAAAAAAAAATTATGGGCGTTTACCCCATCCCTCCTTCTCCCTCCCTTTTCTTTCCTGCACCCATCCTCCCTGCACACCCACCGATTCCCCTACTTCCCTCTCTCTTCTCTCCTCTGCAGTCCCACACACAAAAATGCAAAGTCGACGCGCCAAGAACCTACCTTCGGCGATCGGTGTTGTCACCCCCACAACTGGCGCAGCAGCTTCGGTCTTTCCAGAAGTCACACCACCTCCTACGAAATAGTTAAGGAGGGATGACAAAAAGTTAAAAGACAAAATACAATAAAAGTAGGCAAAAGATGCCGGATAAGGGGAATGAAGCCTAGGTCTGAGATAAGCTCAGTGGATAATTGAGACTTAGCTCAGGGAAAACTGAGATAAACTCAGAGAGAACCAGGTATAAAACGAAAGAATGAGACTGGAAAGAGGAGAGGAAAAGATGGATGCCGGGAGGGGGATGAAGTAGAGGAAGAGGGGAGGAAAAGAAGCAAAAGGCACATGAGGGAAGGAAAGAAGAAGGGAAGAAGGAGACTGGAAAGAGAAGAAAGTAATGGGTTGCTGCCTACCCTGAGCAAGAGCAAGGAGTGGCGGCTGAAAGTTGAAGCTGGAGAAAAGGCTTTGAATTTGAGTTTCTAGAAAGAGAAACTAGGAGAGAGAAAGAGGCTTTGGAGCGAGATTAATAGATATTTTGGGACAGCCTTCAACAGCCATGCACATACCTTGTTCCCTTCACAAATTAGGCTCATCATTGAATTAGAAAATGTGGAATTGAACTTATTAAATTGGATAACCGCCTCACATATAAGGTAAGGCCCAGTTTGATTTTTTTTTTTTTATTCTAGCAAAACCTGCTTCACTTTAAAGTAAAACAGTAAGAAGGTATTTAGCAAAAATAAAGAGTAATCCTAGGGAGACTAAATTTATAGATAAAATTTGCAAAATAAATGATATGTCACAAATAAGAAATGAGCACGTTTATTAACACTTAAGCAATAATTTAATCGACAACTTCCATGTCATCTAGTTTACAAAATTTATCTACAAATTTAGTCTTATTCGCATTACCCAAAAAATTAAAATATCCTACTTATTTTAAAAATAATGGCCTCCAGATAACAACTTTTAAAAGCAGTTTATAAATTGCTTTTAAAAGTTACTTTAATAAAAAACAGAGTTGAGCCTTTAATGAATATTTTTGATTCTTGGAGTATGCTCATTAATTCTAAAAGATGACTATGGACACATTTTACCCTTAGAGAACAAAGTGACCATCACCACACCTACAACTACAAATCCTAACTTCTTACATCACCATTGCCATTACTACCACCATTGTTGCCGCAACCATCACACCACAAACGTGCCACAATCACCATCATTACAACCACCACCAACATGCTCGCCACTGCTACCACCACAACTACCAATATCACTACCATCGTTACCACCACCGTCACCACCACCATCGCCGTTATCGCCACCCCTACCACCATTATTACTTTTGTAGCCCAACCACCACAACCATTGCCCTTGCCACTGTTGTCGTTCTCGTTGTCATCGCCAACACTATCATGTCCATTTTTTTCTTTATATACATTTATATCACTTTTACATTAAAATTTACCAAATGCTTATACACTGCTTTTCATACTCTCAACACTTTAAAAAATATAGTTTATCAAACGTTCAGCTGCTTTATTTTGCATTTGATTATTTTTAAAGCACATCATAAACAATTTAAAAAAGAAAAAAAAAGTAATCCCAAATTGGCACTAAATCTAGTTGGATTCAATCTTATTCTTGTTCCAACTTGCCTGTCAAATGGGGCTTGGACAATTCCTATCTAATAATTACTGTTCTAAAAAGCTGTATAGTCGGCCACCTTGGCGATCGCTTGACCAAGCTAGGCGGCCTCGAAGATTTTTTTGCATCTCACTGTCTATGCATGCATAGAAGAGGAGTCAAAGAGTTAACAATAACTCTGAGAGAATAGAGTGGGGAAGGGAGAAAGAGAGCATTGTAGAAGGAGATCTGGCATCAAGAGCATTGTAGAAGCATATATGCAGTCTAAGAGTATATTCAAAAGAAATGTCACATTTTAAACATAAAATTTAAATTTGAAAGCTTATGTGGCACAAAATCAATAAAAAAAAGGGGCTTTTGGATCTAGGTCCAAAAACTTAGGTAGTTTTTGGGACCAAGTCCAGTTATCCAATTACATATTTTGATATCAATTTTGCCCCTTCAGATAAAAATATTGAAATTCTTTAATTTTTTTTTTATCATTTATTCAGTTTTTAAATTTTGAATATTTAAATACTCAAACTAAAATATTATCTAGTAACTACCTACCATTTATGAAGAAAACAAAACCAATATAATCTAGTAACCAGCTACCTATTGTATAGGAAGAAAATGCTTTATACCTACAAAGCAGATATGATCTACCTGCAAAACAAAAATAAACTACCTATTATATTGGAAGAAAAATGCTAGGAACCTACATGGCGGAACATAAAAATATAAATATGATATAATATACCTCTATTAAAGGAACGAATTTGGAGGGAAGAACACAAAAATATCATCCATGAAAAGAAGAGACAAAAAAGAGGAGGATTGATAAAGGGAATTGTTTGGAAGAAGGAAAAAAGGAGGGATGAAATCATGAAACGGATTGGGGGTTGAGGATTATATGGCTATAACTAATCCTACAATTAAGGGATTAGTTAAACCACAAATTATCTCATTATTAAGAAATTTTGTGTATTTACTACAATTCGTAAGCCTAAGGGGTAAATATGGTATAAATCACAAATAAACATACATGGAATCTCAATTATTGGACCTATTTCAATGAAGTGGACTAATTCTACTAATGGCTCACAAAATTGGATCTATATCAAGTTATCCCTAAAAAAAACCCTAGAATATTATATATTTACTCATAGTTTATCTTGCATAATAAATTTATTAAAATAAAAGAAACCATCTACGCTATAGATGCTAGATCTCTCACCACCATCCGGCTAGCATCTAGTGATTTTCAAAATATTAATAATAATTTGGGATAAGAGAGTGAAGATGAGTGATGTTTGGTAAATTGAGTCATTGACCAATGCACTTGTTTTTCGGTATTTTTTTTCCTTTCCTGAGAGCACTTTGGGGAATATAATTTAACCAACCCATTGAACATGAAGCCCATGAGGTTTGAACTTCAAGCCATGGCTTTTAAGATGACTTGGCATCAACTGAGAAAAAGTGGTATGTATGTAGCAGTTGGGATTTGTCTAGGGCTAAGATAGGTGCGGTTGCCACCCAACATAAAACTAATAGGTAAGGCCATCTCCAACTAAAGGTTCAGAGGGTCGAAAATAGTCCTAAAACTGTCTCCAACCGAGAGCTAGGCCACACTGGACAAAAAAGGCCAAAGGACCAGCCGGGCGGCCCTGGCAGGGCTGGAATTCAAAAAGCAGCGGTTAGCTAGCCGTTATTTTTGGTTTTTTTTTTTATTTTTATTTTTTTACAAAATTTGTTTAATAATAGGCCCAGAAAGTATGTTTGGGTGTTCTTTTTATAGGCTTTAGAGCTTGCTCAAATCCCTTTCATAGTCGATGTGGGACCCCCATCCACTTCCATTTTTTTTTATATACTTCCTCTCCCACAACCAATGTGGGACTCTCCCACCCACTTCCTTTTTTTATTTTTTTATTTTTTTATACTCTAAATAAAACCTCTCACATTTGACTTGAAAAATATGAGTTGTATTTTTAAAATTTTCGTTGTAGTTTTAAAATTTAAATAATAAATTATGTTTGGCCCTATAGCTCTCGGTTAGAGATGATTTTTAGTGATAGGGCTAAAACGACCTCTATGGCCCTTTAACCCTAGGTTGGAGATGATAAGAAATATGATCCTGCACTATTTATTAAAATATTAATTTCTTAGAGAGCCAGATGGCTAAAATGAGCCATCTGACCAACTTTCGGTTAGAGATGGCCTACGAGGTAAAGAGGGATTTGTGATAATTTTTGGCTAATTCCCATGGGTTTGGTATTACCGGCACCTGTCGGTCGGGTTTTGGTTGGTGAAATGGCTTTGTCCTTCACTGCCCAATTTATAGATCCAGGTACCGGAAGGGCATTCGTGGGAATTAATTTGTTGGTAAGATGTGGAATTATCAAAAACTATAGAATAAGCCACTCCCAAGCCAAGTTTATTCAACTTTTAATTGAAAAATATTAAGAGGTACTCAAAAGAATGGGCAAAAAATCAAGTTAGTCTTCCACATCCAACCGTCATCATTCATGTTTTATAGGGGAACAAATCGTCATCATTCTTGCATGAAATCGTCACCATCCTTGGATGGATGCTCTCTTGTTTCTATATGAACCCTTGCATGTTGACAAAAGTCCAAGACTAAAGAAATTTATGTTAAATGAAAGACATATCACTTATAGGATATAAACTACATCGAAGAATCTGATCATAGTGATGTGGCCATAAGTCCACCAATGGACTGATCGACAACCAGTGGTTAAGCTAAATTTATGATTTGTATAAGAATTGGATTTTACGTATGTTTTTGGAGGAAATGTCGAGGTAGTAACATGTCTTCCATGTAGTTTACCTACATATGTACAAGTTCATGCAAGGTTTTTTTCTTTCATCAATGTGAGATTCATTCTCAATATGTCTCCTTGCGTGTGACGGATTTTCAAGCTAAACACTTAAACAACGCAAATTGGATGAAGTATAATGCGTGTGCCTGTTGGACTGTATACACAAGATAGTTGATTTTAATAGCATAAAAAGGTCGAGTTTTATCATAAAATCAATTGACTATATAAATAGTAGCTCAACTATTTATACAAAGTTCATTTTTTCATCGATGTCGGATTCATTTCTAACATGTAAAATGTGGGACCATGATAGGACACGTATATTCCTCATCCATGTACCAGATCCATTTTTATGCAGAAAATTGAGATGAGAGTGTTTTCATTCATCTTTCTAGTTCTTCTTCACACATTCGTTTGATTATCTTTGGGGTAGTATATTGTGTTGCACTATTTGCTGGTATTTACAATATTTTCTGCTTTCGTTTTCTTTGTTTTTGATATTTTTTTATTTGTAAATCATGTTATTTATTTATTTTTTTTTCAGTTTTAATACTATTAATTATATCTATCGTATTTTCTGTCATATCATAGACGCACCGGTGGCTCTGACGAGAGAATTTGCCACACATTGCATGTGAACAAGGGAGCACACCCCACTGGATGAGTCGGCAATGTCATAGAAACTGAATGGAGTGTATGTTGCAGAAACAATTAGGGCAAATACCAAATAACGATATAGTATTGAGAGTAAATTCAACATGCAATTCTTAAGCAAACAAATAAACTGAAACAACGGATTTTTTAATGAAAGAATGAATCGCAAATTGGTTAGACGAATGAAGAGAGAGAGAGAGAGACAGAGATGGGTTATGGCATGAGGTGCCATGGGTATGGATATGGGTGGTGGCTGGTTGGGTGAATTTATTAAAATAGAGGCAAATTAGGAAATATGATGACCAAAATTTTTAGTTGGGTAAACTTAATTAAGAGGGTGCCAAAAAAGTGTTTTCATTCATCTTTCTAGTTCTTCTTCACACATTTGTTTGATTATCTTTGGGGTAGTGTATTGTGTTGCACTATTTGTTGGTATTTACTAGTCACTTACGAATATGGCACGCATCTAATATTGTATACAACGATATATAACTATTGGTGTGAAAAAAACACTAAAATATCATACATTAGAAACTAAAAGAAATCTCATAAATTATGTCATATAACTTAATTCCATATCTGATTAATTTTGGACACCATTTTATTTAAAGTATGAAATAGAACTAATAAAGTTGGCGACCGGATTTGGCCGATTTCTTTCTCATTATGGTTCGGTAGATTATATTGTTTGAACTAAATATAATCTTAGACTTGGATAAAACTAGTATCTTAGAATCAAGTTTTATAGCGCACTACAAGTCCACAACGATCATAAATTTTCCCTTTAGCTATCAACAAATTTAATAGATATGGCGAAAGGTTCACTAAAGCTAGCATTTCTCATTGTGCTCTTGATCGTTGCATTTGCTGCTAAAATGTAATACCCTGAAAATTTAAACATATGAATTAGATATTCATAATTATGAATATGTGGAGGAAATCGAAAATAAATCGATTTATGGTAATGAAAATAACATTGGGAAGTTTGACGTTTGAAAATTTATTATTTAAAATCCGTAGACTTTTTGAGGTCCGAATTTATATTTTTGAATAGAGCTCAACCTCATGAACATGTAGGCGCAAACCGTTCATGAAATAGAGTTATAACGAAGAAGTTATTAACGTTTGAAGTTAGGGACATTTTTGTAATTTTGGCTTTCAAGTCTAGAAGGCTCTAGTTTTTCTTGAGCAGGGATGGCTGTGATGAAGCCATGTGTATGGCTGTGATGGGAAAGCAAGGAGGAAAAGGAGAGAAAAGAAAAAGAAAAAAAAAAAAGGGTGGGGTGAGTGTGGAAACGGGAGTTCTTCCCAACCTGACCCGTGACAGCAATCCGGCGCCAAATTGCAGAGTTCCACAGCGGAATTTCCGCTGTCCCTCACTTGGAAATACCTACCTAACCTCTCCTCTACCTTTTTCACCCAAAATTAGGAAAAAATTAGTTGAAATTTGGTGGAAAACCCACCATGGGTGCCGCGGGTATTCTTGGCCGAAATCCATCAATTGTGAAATGTTTTCCTCCAATTACCACCATTACTAGACTTCCCTTGAGGCCTAGAATAAAGCCCAAACAACTGTAGGGGCGGCGGAGTACCGGAGGTGACGATTTGAGACCACCCTTTTATAAGGTTTTCGGTGGGTTTGAGGCAAATTGGAGCCTTTCCAGGCAAAATTGGACTTCGCCGCAGGTATAAATAGATGCAAAAATTGAGTTTTCATTGATTGTATCATCACATATATACACATAGATCAGTTCTTATCTAAACTCTAGGAGTGTTATCAGCTAAAATTCAATTAACAACAATAATTTCAAAAGCAATCAGACCACTATAACACCCAAGTTAAGCTCAAAAGAGCCGCTACTCGAGTTGCTAGCCGCTGGAATTTCATGTCTCCACCTAGTAAGCTGCTGTCACTCCACTGTCTTGCATGAATACCAACAGAGACATTTATGGGCGAGGAGCCTGAAAAGAAAAAGTTTGAAATATGACACACTAGTACTGCTCCAAAACTATATGGGAAATGAAACAAGAAAAGAATTTAGAACATAATTTAGCTTACAATTGAAGTTTGCCCAACCCAACCGCTGACCAACTATATCATAAACAACAATCTTATCTTTTAGAAGAAGATCTGCATTCGAAGGGACATGAGAAGTCATATTAAATGATTTTACATGTTAACTAGTGTTTTGTAAATTCACTAAAGAATTGAACACCATATGCACAGGTTAAATTACCTCCGAGCATGTTGAGCCTTTTGTGAGCTTTAACGAAACCCATGCACCACGAAGGAAGGCCATTCTGTAACACTTCCATTACATCAGTCAATGAATATTATTTTAAACAAGAATTATTTTACAGAATGAGGTTGAGGATAAACTTACATAATAACCGCCATCAATAAGATACTCTCGTGGTTTCAACACCATCGAGACGCCGCCAGCAAAATTCAGACTGACTGACGGAAATGCCTCAGCTAAACTGAAAAATAACGGACATAAATGTCATTCGGTTCTTTTGAAGACAGAGAGGGGGTATACATAGATTAATGGAGACAAATTTCACTCAATTTTGTTAAGGGGACAGAGAGCACTTGCTGATGGACGTGAGATAGCACTGGTTTCCTGACGTTGAAACCACGGGAGTCACATGTTTAGAAGAAGCCAAAGTTATCTGCACAGCCAAATACAAGGGAGTCACCTATATCAATCGTATTACTGTACCCTTTCGTATAAAAGAACTAATGGATCTCGAACTTACAGCATGTATAAAAGGTTCATATAATTCTTCTATAAGATATGCTAGAGTAGTTCCCGAGTCCACAACAGTTCCTCGCCCATGTGATACTGTAAACGCTACTGGATCAATCGGCAAAATTTTCCCGTTAACAGCAATGCTCCGTAAGTAGATTGCATAATATGGCCGCCTGAAAACAGTAGGTAGAAATTTGTTATATTAAATAAACAAAAGAGGTACTCACGGAAACTTTCAATTAAATCAAAGAAACAATTAAATGGAAGTACAAGGAAAGAAACCTACTTCGGGACAAGGGGAGTATAAACAATACTCGGCTCCAAAATGTCACCAAGTATGAGTATACCCCCACCATAGTCATCTCCTTTCAAACAGTGGGAGAACACGCTGGGGGTCATTCCTCGTGAAGACAACTGCGATAGAACAGACATGGGACCTTGGCTAAAGCCAAATATCCCATTGACTGAGGCTCGGGTCCCAGCCAAAAGTCCGGATACAGAAGCAGCACACCTGTTTCCAATATTATTGAGGGAAATAATGCGATTAACCTCTAATCTCTACAAGAAAAAGCTAGTTTTTATAACATTAAATTACATCGTTTTTAATGTTGTTAGTAGTCAATATTCATAGCATTTGCGAACAACATCTAAGCTTATAAACCTTTGAACCCCAAAATTATTTCAAACATCTCAAGAACTCAGGTTTAAACTCATGGACAGGTGATGGTGGTTAGTTATGTTAGTAATTGAGAAATCTGGTTTGTTTATTTTGCTTTTGTCTAGTTTTAGTGTTCTTGGTTCTGTTTTTCCATCTCTTTTGTTGTATTTTCTGTTTTGATTCCTTTGTTCTTGATATTTTTATTTGTAAATCATGTTATGGTTTTTTTCAGTTTTACCGCTACATTTTGCAGTGGAAGCATGCGTACTTTTGGTAACCTCCCTTACACATTAAGAACAGTAAATCATGCAACTCGGACGCACTAATTAAGAAGCTACACATGCTTTACTTGTTCTTGAGTGTGGATGTTGCAGTGATGTTCTTTTCAACTCTCTCATATTTTAATATGATTGATCAACTCGGTTATACTATTTTGTGCCATGCTGCTAAGTAGGTAAAGAGCCATACTGCTCCTACTTAATGCAAAGCGAATTGTTGTGTAATACATGCTCTGATACACAAGGGTTCATCTGTCAAATCAGCTTCTAAGTTGAGGAGAAGCTATTTGAAGGTTTCATGATTCCAGGCTTCCAGTTTCGGTTGTTACACTTCAAATGAGAATACGAGAACCATGGCTCTGCTGCTTGGTACTCTCTTTATCGTTCTCTATATTTATCATGATACGACTGTTTGATTCTAGTTATTTTTGGTATATAACGTGGTTCTTGTTACATGCCATGATTTTTGGTATATAACGTGGTTCTTATAACAATGCTATACTATAGTATATAGGATTGAAATAGTTATAGAACATAGTATAGCATTGTTGCCTCCAATACTTATTAAGCAGCAGATTACACAATACTTCATATCTTGAGTTAAGTTTTAGCGTTTTTACATACTCAAATGTGCGCATATTTATATAGTGGTTGAATAATTTTCTTTGCACCGTTGTTCAAGGTTGTCTGACACATATATTTGATTGTGCTTTTAGAAATGGGAAGTCTACTCTCCTAATTTTGAATTTTTGTTTGAAATGGCAATGTAACTTTTCTGTGTTATGGAGTTAGACAATTAAGGCAAGGAAGGTTTTGGCCAAATAAAAAAATGCAAAGGAGGAAGTGCTTGTTGATATTAGAGAGATGGCAGATCAATTGCAGCTTGTGTTAGTGGTTTTTATGAACTGAAAGCATAAAGGTTTGCATTTTATTGGTTTTGCTTCATCTCAATAGCCTACCATGTATTTTAATTACATTAGGTAATTTCCTAAAGCCTACCACCTTACTAGTAGTGAATAAACACATGCAAAAAGAAAGGTTAAAATGATACTCACCCGAAAACAATGGGTGCTGAAGATTCCAATGCAACATAAGATCGCACTGGAATAGTGTCAAGATGCAGCACATCTGATACGAGAAAACTAGTGATGCGATTTCCGCCGGAATATGTCATATCATAGTTACACCGGTGGCTTTGACGAGAGCATTTGCCGCACATTGCATGTGAACAAGGGAGCACCCCCCCAGTGGATGAATTGACAATGTCATAGAAACTGAATGGAGTCTTTGAAACATGTTGCAGAAACAATTAGGACAAACCCAAATAACACAAGACATAGTATTGAAATATACAAACAGATTCAATGCAACAGTAAGCTTGGATTATCTCTCAATGCTACAACGAGGTTTCAATTTTGTGTCAAATTTTTGTGTCTCAAATGCGTATTGTGCCTCAGCAAATACCCTCACTCAAATAAAATGAAAAGAGAAAACAATTTTGTAGAAATTTTCAGGTCGACGGGCCAAGGGCCCACTCCAACAACACCGATACTGTCTCCACTTAACCACCTGCACAATCCTCAGGTGTGGGGTTTTATCACAAAAGGCCTCGATGTTAGTTAGAGAGGGGTATTTCTATTTAAAGCACTATTCTCTTCTCCCTCTGTCCGATGTGGGACTGGGGGTTCCAACACTCCCCCGCACGTGAGACCCCACTTATGGGTCACACGTGAATTTCCACACATCGGCAACCACGTGGAGCCATGTCGGGACTCACCCAATCACGTGGGGCCAATGGGGACCCACCCAAACACGTGGCATCTTTGGCCTACGTGGACAATCACGCGGGGCCAACGGGGACCCACCCAATCACGTGGCAGTACGGGCCCGCCTCCTGGCTTTGATACCATGTAGGAATTTTCAGGTCGACGGGCCGAGGGCCCACTCCAACAACACCGATACTGTCCCCACTTAACCACCTGCACAATCCTCAGGTGTGGGGTTTTATCACAAAAGGCCTCGATGTTAGTTAGAGAGGGGTATTTCTATTTAAAGCACTCTTCTCTTCTCCCTCTGTCCGATGTGGGACTGGGGGTTCCAACAAATTTAATAAACTGAGAACAAAATAGTCAGCATGTATGCAAATTCCTCTCTCCCCCATGACATAAGATTAGGATTCCTCTTCGGCAATTGAGGTATTACAGACTCTCTCTCGGATTCTCTCTACATAAGGATTCTAGCGTCTAGTTCAGCTTTCTACAGCAGATTTAATATTTTTGTAGTGTTTTGGGCTAATTTTTTTTCTGGTTTCAAACAATGTGGCTAAGTCATTATAAATGCTAAGTCATTGGCACTAGCCATTTGAATACGCTTGCCTTTGTTGTGCCTTGGCCCGTTCGTTAGTGTGGAAAGGAGATTCAGATTATAACCTCACCAAATCACACACTGAATAAAATAGAAGAAATAAAGACACTGAGAAATTTACAAGGTTCGGCAAAAACCTGCCTACGTCCCCGGAAAGATATTGCTCTTCACTATGGAATAACATTACAAGTACACGTGAGTTAAATCAACATAACCCAATCCCGAATCCCTTGCACACCTACTCATAGAATTTTCCCAAGAGCCTCACTCTACCCCAAGAGTTCTTTCACAAGAGACCTTTCACTCTAGCTCTCTTGATTTCTCTCACCCGTGCCCATGGTAGAGCCAAATGCTCTCACCATCTCTTTGATGCTTCCCTGATGCAAGCCTTCTCCCTCGGCAAGCATATCCCAATGCAAGCCTACTGCCTTCACTTATAGGCACACACCAGGAATTATGCCAACCACCAAGACCAAAAAGTCTCGAGTTCACATGGCATATATTCAACACTCATTGATGTACCTAGCCTATAGAGTGCAACCCTTTTCTCCATCTGCCATTTAATGCATAGAAAAGAAAGAATGCTCAATTGCATGCAATCCCACAAAGTCAAGACCTGCTCCTGCTTTCAACGTTGCTTGTGGCAGTCACCATGTCTTCCCTTGAACGAAGACTTCATGCCACAACCAAAAGCAAAACACAGAGTCACAAATGGCTGATGCCATTTCCTTGCAGCATTCACAAAGTTACACTTGCAAAATTGTTGCCAACTTATAAATATATGAGCCAAACACAACAGGCTTCTCAGACATGCAAGATTGTACATTAAACGTTTGGAATTAGGATTTGCTAAATTGATAGCAAACAGTGGAGGATAAAAAGAAGAAAGAAATGTAAACTTACTCCCAGATCAGTGAATCAGGGGCAATTACTGCAGGAACTGCAGGAGACCCAGAACAAGTCACTCCCTGTGTGAAGCAACACGTAGAACTCTATTGGAAGAAGGACAACACGGCAAGCATACAGCACGGTAAGCTGTATGTACAGACAGCACAGCAAGCATACAGCACGGCAAGCATGGGTAAAGGAAAGACAGCAAGGGTGTGCACTCTGGAAAGGAATGTGCACGTGATTGCTGACTCATGGACAGCAGGGAAAGGAATGTGCATGTGCATGTGTGCTGTTGCATCTGATTACAAGGGTGTAAAGCTTTCAGCTTTCTTTGTATTGTGTATAAGTATGCCTTCCCATAAGGCTTTCTATGATATGAAATGTATTACAATTCAAATAAAAAAAGTTCAATATGGTATCAGAGCAGGAAAAATAACCTGCTTCTGCATTTCTTCCAGCTGATCATATTCCATCTCCGACATGGCGGAAGAGAATTCTTATTCGTTTGGAGATTCCCAGATACCTTCCTCCTCAACCGTGTCTGAGGTGGATGTCAATCCAAATCAAAGATTAAGCTCGGTCTTGTTAAATGAGTTTAACTACTTACCTTGGTCGAGAGCAGTGAGTCTTGCCCTAGGTGGAAGGTCCAAGCTAGGGTTCATAAATGGAAGCATCGAAGTTCCTGATGTTTCTTCATCAACTTATGAAATCTGGCTTTGCAAGGATCAGCTAGTTATGTCATGGCTCCTAAATTCCATGGAACGTAAACTAGCTGAAATATTCAGTTATTCTGAATCATCATTCAAACTATGGGAGACAGTCAAGGAGATGTATGGCAGCCAGAACAATGCTGCACGTGTGTTTCAATTGAAGAAGAACATTTCCAACATACAACAAGAAGGAAAACCCTTTGTTCAACTTCTAGGCAGCATGAAGAGCATGTGGAATGAGCTGGAAATGTATCGGCTTCACACAACTGAGGCGTCTTTACTATTGAAAAGGGCAGAAGAAGACAAGATATTCCAACTCTTGTCAAGTCTCGATTCAGGATACGAAGACCTACGAAGCCACATACTCATGAACCCCGAACTACCTTCCTTCACCAGCGTATGTGCAACAATCCAACGTGAAGAAGTACGAAGGAAAGTCATGAACACTGGCACAAAGACCAGTGTAACTGAAGCAAAGGCTTATCTAGCCAACGAAAGAAAATACAAAGTGAAGAATCCACACTTAAAGTGCCAACACTGCAACTATACTGGTCACGTTAAGGAGACATGCTGGATTTTACATCCAGAATTAAAGCCAGAGTTCATGAAGGATAACAAGGGCTCACAAAGACTGAACCGTGCACCACATAGAGCCAACAATGCAACTACCTCAACCTCTCATAGGTCTGATGCACTCAAGAGCTTCACTGCAAATCCAGCTGCAGTCATAAATGAGTTTGCAGTGTATCTTCAAAGCAAGAAAGAAAGGATTAAGAGTGACCAAACGGTCGGCTTTGAAGATGGAAATTCAATAGCTTTGCTAGGCAAGTTTGCTGGATTTCTGACAGAAACACAACACATGGCCCAAGATGACATGCAAGGTATCATGACTGCTTTTAAAACTGCTCTTAATGTAAATATGATGCATGATTTGTGGATTGTTGATTCGGGTGCCACAGATCATATGACCAACCATGTTTCTAAGTTTCACAAGTTTGAAAAATTTTCAAAACCGTCTCAAGTCTCAACTGCCAATGGTGAAAGTTCTAAGGTTTTAGGGAAGGGAAATATCAACTTAATATCGGACAAAATTGAGTCAGTAGCCTTATTTGTTCCTTCTTTTCCATTTCAACTTCTATCTATGGGAAAAATCACCAATACCTTAAATTGTTTGGCCATTTTCTCTCCTCACAATGTCATTTTTCAGGATTGCCTCACCAAGAAGACGATTGGTGAAGGGTTTTACCTAGATGGCCTTTATTACATATCAAAAAACAGTCCCAGAGGATTTCAAGCCAAGTCCAGTCCATCCCAAGATAGTCAATTGTGGCATCAACGTTTAGCTCATCCTTCCCAACCTGTTTTGTCTTCCTTGTTTCCAAACTTAGGGAATGATTTAATTTCGTGTGAAACATGTCATTTGTCTAAAGCCACCAGATTGTCTTTTACCTCATCCTTATCTAGGACTAGTAAAGTTTTCGAACTAGTTCACTCAGATGTATGGGGACCAACGTTTGAATCTTTTGATGGTTATAAGTATTATGTAACTTTTGTTGATGATTTCTCTAGAGCCACATGGTTGTACCTTTTAAAGTCTAAGAGTGAAGTGATTGAAGTTTTTAAGGATTTTCACAATCTTGTTAAGAACCATTTTTCCTCTCAAATTCAAACCTTAAGATTTGACAATGGCACCGAATATATGTCCCATATCATGTCATTATATTTGAGCAAGCATGGTATCATGCATCAAACAAGTTGTGTCGGCACACCTCAACAAAATGGTGTAGCTGAAAGGAAAAATCGTGACATTCTGGAAAAAACGAGAGCATTAATGTTACAAATGAACGTACCAAAGAGATTTTGGTCACAAGGAGTCATGGCGGCTGTGTACATCATCAATAGATTTCCTAGCCGAGTCTTGGGGTTTAAATCTCCACTTGAAGTCATGAAAGGAAGAAAAATCGACCTTTCACATCTTAGAGTCTTTGGCTGTGTCTGTTTTGTTCATATACAGTCACACCATCGAGATAAGTTGGACCCTAGAGCTCTCAAATGTATTTTTCTTGGTTATTCATCAACACAAAAAGGATATAAGTGCTATGATCCTCAACTAAGAAAAATAATTGTATCTAAAGAAGTACGATTCCATGAAGCTAACCCTTTTTTCAGCAAATCACATGAAGCCACAAGTCAGGGGGAGTGCATCTTAGACCTAATTCCTCTACCAAGAATCTGTACTTCTACACCTCCCATTGAAGTCAATAATGAAGGTACTCATCCTGATAATTCTGTGCATGATGATGACTCGGTGCATGATGATGACAACGGCAACATAGAAAATCCTCAAGGTATGGATGACAATTTGAACGAGGATGAGACAAACCTCCTAGTACCTCGACGCAATCCTCGGCGTGATAGACAACCTCCCACAAGGTTTCAAGATTTTGTCACATATAAACCGAGGCATCCAATTTCAAATTGCGTGTCGTATCAAAAGGTAACTCCATCTCATGCT